TTAGTGTTCTTTAGTTGCTACAAATATCGCACAAGTTGCCACACGCCTTAGCATGACGCACATAATTCCTAAGCCACAATCGCAGCACGTCCTGTTATTCAGCCAAAGCCATTACATCAAGCAATATTCCCTTATAGAACTCGAAATCTCCGAACCTGATATATGTTATTTATCTAGACATATATATGTTATATATATTTCATATACTCGTCGGATATAATGAACTTCTGTGACACCCACAATTCTTGAGGTAGGTAAAAGTTGGGTTGTATCTAAAAAGTGTGAAAGCTGTGTGCATTTTGTAGAAGAGGAACGCCGTGTATTTATTTACTATTTACTACTGTTTTGTTTATTATTTTTTAACCTATCGTAAATTTTTTCTTATGTTTAAAATATTCTAGGCTTCTTAAATTGTAGGTTTTGAAATAAACTAGCTGCCAGTGGATAAAGGGTCCAGAACTAATCGCCTTTTTTTTCTGTGCACCACTCTCTGTACCATCCTATCATAGGTCGGGTGGGGATACTGCTGTCAACCGAGTGGGAACCGGATGAGGGGCATTGGGGGTCGGGCGGAAATACGGAGGAAGCGCCCTGAAATAATGGGAGACGAGACATCGCCGCTGACATTTGTTCTATTGCTGACGCTGCATTCAATGTTGCACACACAAAAATTAGATTGGTTAGTCCGTGACAGCTTCAAACACCGCAATATGCCAACAACAACAGTGCTAAATAAACTTCCAGCCAAAAACAATTAAAAACAAGCATTCTACAAAAATAAAATGCCTATGCCCGAAATAAAGCGGCAATAAAAAAATCGAATGCAGTAAAAAAGGTTTTTAGCGTCGGCGCCTAAACATATGAAACTGTTAATAATTAAAGAATTTTTGAATTGCAGAATTGCTTTCCATACCTCACTATATAATTGTTAGTCTGAAATGAGAAATTTTCGAAAAAAGTGTTAATTTTGGATAAATCTTCTCCCTGGATACAATTAAGCATTAATTACCATCGTTACGGTCATCAGCCACGTAAATTCCTCATTCTATAAAATTGTATATGGTCCACAAGGAGTTAATCAAGTACAATGCTCAGACAAAAGAATTCTGTACTCAAAATTCAACACTAAAAATTCTTTTTTAAAATACAATTCAATGAGCAGGATTACCAATTCCCAAAAACATATCAAAATCAATTAAAGTGCACGTATTTTTGTATTGATCATATTGTGCACATAATGTCTCTGTGTAGATAAAAATTTGTCGTTTTTTTTGTTCCTGTTCACTCAATAGAAAAATAAATATAAAGTGATAGTCATGATCTTAGTCACTTATGATCTAAGTCTATGCTTTGATGTTCTCAGGTCATATTGTGGTTGATGTCTTAGCTAATGGTATGGTCTAAACTTGCACAGTGGGTGTGTTGCTGCAATTTAGTGTTTCTCAAAGTTGATTCGCGTTTCACGAAAACAAACGAAAAATCCTTGCCAAGCCCTTTTCTACTCCCTTTAGGTTGCTGTGAAGACTTTAAAAAAAGGCTTTTTATTGTTAAACTAAATGTATATTAGTTCCTATAAAAAAAGTTAAGCAAGCCAAAGCTTATATACCCTATAAACATCGAAGCTATGACGATTTTTCTATTCATTTTCCATATTTTCGACTATTGTTCATATGGCAGTAGCTGTACATACATATGTATCTTAAAGCTATAATAGTCCAAAAAAATAATCAAAGGTTTTAACGTCTTATAAAGTGTTTGCCTGTGCGCTCGTTATAGTCAAATTTTATTATCTGCTCCACTATTTAGAAATGATATAAAGACAAACTTATCGTTGTATATTTTTTTATCAAAGAAACAATTCTATTATTTATAAAAAGACCGGGGCACTGTGATTTGTGATCTGTGCATTTTAATGTGAGCCTATTTGAAATCTGAGATACATATGTATGTATGTACATGGCGGAGATGGCAAAGTTACTATTCTACGACATACATACATATGTTTTTTACCTCTATCTCACTCGACGACAAATTTATCAATTAAGCCAAAACGGTTATCCATAAAGAAACCGTTAGTTATGTATATTCTTCGAGCTATATTCTTCGTACTCTTTGTATGACTCAGGAGCCCGATCGGGGCAGAGGGAAACCCAAAAGCTCAGCTAATTTTCTAATTCTGCCCTGTAATGTGCTCGGTTTTTTAGGGGGAGAGGGGGGAGAGAAGGATGCCGGAAATACCAAGAATGTGCTTGTTGCTATTATTGTTTTGGGGCTCGCTCGCTCACCCCTTTTCAAATTCTTGCACAGCGCATTAAAAATAATTATGCTTATGCTGCTGGAAAATTTGCTGACTTCCATACAAGTGCTCACATGACCAAATGGGTAGCCACACATCCGTTTAAATACACACATATGTATGTATGTATGTATGTATGTATGTATGTATGAAGAGGTATGTGTACTATATATGGCGAAATGACCGCAGAGCGAAAGTGCGAGTGGAAGGGAGCCGGGGCCAAGCTGCAAAAATATTTTAACAACATTCTTAAGCTCAACCGAAACGAAAAGTTATGAAAAATGTTATGAAAATTCATCTGAAGCCGTCGGGGGTCAGAGGACAGCGAGTGGGCGACGCCACAGCCCACTTTCTCGCCCTCCGACTTGGGCCACATTTTAATTGGAATAACTTTGATAATGTTGCCAACAGCCGAACGAAAAGAAACAAATAAGAAGGGCCGGGCGAAACTAGCGTGCCGCTTAATGAGTAGTTTAAACCCAACTCCTAGAGAACTGATACAAACTTATTGCAATCAACCGCACATCCCTCTGTCGCCTTCGGGTTCAACACAAAAGAAAAATGTTCTAAAAATGTTATTTGATGAGCAAATTTGACTTTTAAATCCTTGCAGAGGGTATTACAATTACAGTCAGAAGTTCGCAACTTAGTGAAGAAGACACCTGAGACCCCATAAACTATACATATACATATGTATATTCTGGATTAGCATCGCGATCTGAATCGAAATGCGACTGTCCGTCTGTTCATATGTCCGTTTGTCCGTCTGTCTGTTTCTATGTATGTAAACTAGTTTTTCAGTTTTGAAGCTATTTTGCTACAACTTTGCCAAAAATTTTGTAGTTATTGTAGTATATAAGCCCGAATGGGACGGATATCGGATATTTCCCATACGAGAGATCGAAAAATCTATATAGAATTTACGGAAAAACATCTATTTTTTTAACCTACAAGCATAATATTTGGAATATACATTATCTCGAATTTCGAATTAAATTTCACAAAAATCGAACGACTTTTTCAAAAATCGTGAAAAATACAGAAACTTAAAAGGAAAAGCGACAAAGCTTCGATGTTGTGGTGTGATGTGGTTCAGAGAAGGCCATTTTGACGTGACAAGAAGCGTGAAAATAGACAGACAAGTTGAGGACCATGATTTCCAGGATCTTTTGGATGAGTACGACACCCAATTGCAAAAAATACATGCCGAACAGTTATGTAGGTGTAACTAAACACACCATTTCCATATGTACGTTTACGTGAGTTTTATTGTGTTTTATTGTGCTTTGTGATTTTTTTTTAACAGGAAAACAGCGGATCTACGCTTGTACACCTGGTGGTACATCCAAGGGCGTCGCCAGCCGATGGCGCAAGTTAACTTTACCTACTACAATTCATACCTTTCTCGTTCGTTACAAAAGTACGGTTATATTGTTCAAATTTTACCAAGGATCCCTAATTTTTTTCAAAATGAAATGTAGCCTTAAAAACTTGTAAATGAGTTATAACATTTATTAGAAAAATAAAAAAAGGAGTTTAAAATCTCTAGGGGGGCAGCTGCCTCTCCCTGCCCCCCCTTGGGTACATCACTTAACTGTGTTGTTAAGCGTTTTATGCTTTTTGCAATTTAGTTATAACGAAAATTATCCTAAAAAGTTGTTTCTATTAAGATGTCATAATAAAAAAATTGGAAAATTCGCAAAACTAGAAAATACATATGTAGATTTATAATGACTTTGGCTTGCCAAAGCTAGCTTCGTTCTTGTTTTTAATTATTATGTATTATTATACCCTTGCAGAGCAAAAGGGTATTATAATTATAATCCCATATGATCTATAGTCGAAAATATCGAAAATGAATAGAAAAATCGTCCTAGCTTCGTTGTTGTTTAGCCTTTATGGATTTTGTTCGACATATTTGATGGCTGCAAGGGTTTATAAGCTTCGGCTTGCCGAAGATAGCTTCTTTTCTTGTTATTTCATAGATTTCCCGATGTTTGGTTGTACAGCTGTATAATATTATATAATCTTATTATAGCTATCAATTTGTATAAATTCAAATTCATGTCATAACATTTTTAAAAGGCGCTGCATGTTAATCGTGTTAATCAGTTGTGAGCTGACAGCCGAAGAATAAAGGCACCTCTTCCAAGTCGTGTGTGGTATTTTTTCTAATCACCGTTGGAGTAAAAGCTGGAGCCACGACCCGGCTACCAGCTTACAAGAAGAGGCAGCATCATTGTCACTGATACTGGCCACCACATGGTCCCGATCGGTGCGCTGCATCACTATACGGGTGCAGAGGCATCTGTTGTGGGCACCAACTTGCCTCAGGTTACACCAGAACCAACATTTCCGTGAGCAGCACGTGTTCCGATGGAAACCTCCTGCAAGAGCTGTGCAGGTGGAGAATATTGTGGGCAAACACGCTGCCACAATATAATAAAACCTTACCTTGTACAATAAATGCCCTTAAAATAGTTTTGTTTGTGGAACGACTCCTGCTTACCTTCTTAAAGCTTGCGTATTGTTTTCACAAATGAAAGAGCATATTTTTATTTAAAAAAAATCGTATATTTACTGAAAAGGTGATTAGCCAATTCAACCCGAGTTGCACTCTTAGAATGTTGAATTGCGGGAATTGGGGGAGGAGAGGAGGAGGCAGCTAGGGGAATCTCTAAGTTCATTCAGCTTGGAATCGAAGTTGGCTGCGGGAGCTGCGCTAATAGCATTTTAATAGCAATTTCTAAGGTATGTATATATTGTAAGGGTATATCAGAACATTAATACGTGGCGGGGACGTCTAAAACTACACATAATTGAGTTTAATGGCAAAGTCGAGGTCCATCTTGACGCCCGGCTTGCGCACGACGACGAATTGGTCGTGATTGAGCACCTCCAGCTGCTGGCTGACGCCATTCACTGTGATGGTGGCACTGCTGGGCACCTTCTCCAGGCCCGCGACCACGATCCGCTCGATCCAGGCGTCGGTCTTGTACTTGGGCTTGCCCACAAAGTGATTGACCAGCTGGCCGTTGGCGAACTCGTAGTTCACGTGGATGCGCTGGCCCTGGCGATAGGCGTAGGACTTCTCGTCGTCCAGGTACAGGGAGCCGGCTGCCTTGCCCTGCCTGTCCAGACAAATGATCAGTGTGTACGGGTCGTGCAGCATCAGGGTGGAGGCGCGACGCTGGCGCTCCTTCTTCGGAACAATACTGCCGCCGCGCTGCCACACGGGGATCTGTAAGGAATAAATATGGTAAGACATTGTTCTAGAACGTGGAGGAAGGGGAATCAAGCAACTCCCTTCACCTTGTTGTCGTCCACGGGAACCGACACATAGCCGGACCGTTCCTGGCGCTGGTAGGTGTCCACGTCGTACCACCAGTCCCCGTTCTTCTTCTCATCAATGGCCGGGAAGTAGACGTCCACCTTGCTGACGCCCTGCTGCATGACGGGCCTCACGAGCAGGCGGTCCTGCACCAGCAGCTGGCTGTCGATGCCGAACGCCTCCTTGTCCTGCGGATAGTGGGTGAGCAAAGGCCGGATCACCGGCTCGCCGGTCAGCTCCAGCTCGTAGAAGGCGGTGTACCACAAGGGCAGATAGGAGTACCGCTTGAGCACCGCGTTCTTGATCACCTGGCGAGTGCGTTCCGGGAAGAGCCACGGCTCCCGGCGCTTCGTGTCGATGTGGGCATGCGCCCGGAAGAAGGGCAGGAACACTCCCGTTTGGTACCAGCGCTCCAGCAGCTCAGTGTCCGGATTTCCGAAGAAGCCCCCGACATCGGCGCCACAGAATGAGAACCCGGCCACCGCCTCAGTGAGGCACATCTTAACCGAGTGCTGCAGATGAGACCAGTCCGCCAGGTTGTCGCCCGTCCAAATGGCAGCATAGCGCTGGGAACCGGCAAAGTGAGAGCGTGTAAGGATGAAGGGCCGCTGGTTGGGGTCGCGCTGATGCAAGCCAGCGAAGGTGCCCATGAGGTGCATGTGGCCGTACAAGTTGTGCACATCGCGGTGCTCCCAGTTGCCGAAGTGCACCAGGTCCTTGGGCGCCGTGATCTCGGGGCCGTTAAACACGGACGGCTCGTTCATGTCGTTCCACACCATCACGTCGGCGGTGACCGTCTGGAACTTGTCCAGGGCGTACTGGCTGGCGTAGTACTCCCTGACCACGGGGTTGAAGAAGTCGGGATAGCTGGCCGCGCCTGGCCAGCACCAGCCCTCGTAGTCGTTGCCCTCGCGGGTCTTCACATAGTAGCCGCGCTCCGTGCACTCCTGGTGGAAGAAGTAGCTGTTGTCCCGCTTGATGTGCGGGTCGATGATGACCACCAAATGGCGGCCCAGCTGTGTGAGGTTCTTGATCATCGTCAGCGGCTGCGGGAACTTGAACTTGTCCCAGGTGAAGTAGCGCTTGCCGTCGGTGTACTCGATGTCCAGCCACATGGTGTCCATGGGAATGTTGAACTCGTCGAACTTCGCCGACACGGAGGTCACGTCCCTCTCGTCGTTGTAGTTCCAGCGGCTCTGGTGGTAGGCCAGTGCGAATAGCTGCGGCAGCTCGTGGGTTCCCGTCAGAGCGGCGTACTGCTTAAAGGTGTCCATCGGCTTGGGACCCAGGAGGATGAAGGCGTCAACGATGCCCGACTCGGACATAAAGTGGGCCGCCGGCGGAGGTGTCTTCCGCGAGCCGGACACAAAGTTCACCAACGAGGAGACCACATTGGTCTCCGAAGTTTGGATGTCCACCCAGGTCTCTGCTGCATTCTGCCAATAAACACCAGCCGTGCGCTGTTGTCTGAAAGGAAGAGTAACAGTCGTCGCTTTACAAAAACATTTCCAACATTTTTCAAAACTAATCACTAAAAACAAAAGTACAGACTTAGAAGTGAAAGTTACATAGAATTGTAGATTCAAAAATTTCCAAATTGATAGTCATTTTCAATTTTTCGCTTTTACTTTATACTAGCTCGCATTTGGGTCACTGAAAAATTAATATATTATAGAAGTTATTTTCAACATGCAAGCATAAATTTCCGGATTAGGAATGAAAGGCTTTATAAACATCGGCTGTGAATAAAATGTTTATATCGATTGTCTGATAATTGCCGATCGATTTCGTAGGTCGAAAATGTTTGAAGCAAACTCCTTACCGAAAAATTGATACAGTGATTCAACGCAGGTTATTTATATAGAACTAAAAGGAACACTATGAAAGAGGAGGGGTCACCGATGTGTCTCAGTAAACTTCCATCCAAAACTGGGAACCATCTTAAACGTCAAGCTAGTAGTGTCCAACAGATGTCAAACATGAACGTATTTTTAATTGATTTCGTATCTCGAAAACTTTTGTCTCGAAAAACTACAAAACTATGATTTTAAGCTATGAAGATTCATGGTCTTAGCAATGGGTCTTTAAATTCTTGTGTAAAAATCAAGTACACGACTTATTTGTCTTCCGTTATTGTTTACTCCAACAACTCACCCATGACCGTAGATCACCGGCACCGAGCCATAAAGAGCCATCTTACTGTCCACAATGTACTCGAACACATCCAGGTTGTAGAGGCGATAGGGATCCGTGCCCGAGGTCGACTTCAAAACAAAGCTGTCAGCGTGCTCCGGAATGCCAAAGAGGACCTCGGCAGCGGGGAAAGAGAAGTCGAGGGCAACCGCTTCCGGACCGTAGGGCTTGGAGTCATGGTGCGACTTGAAGTTCTCCTCCCATGCCCCGGGATCATCGATGGCGTCTGCTGCCTTGGGAGTCTCCACAGCGGCATCCTGCTCCTGCTGGTTCTCGTTCTCCGCGGCCTCCGTAGTCGGCTCCTGCGCCTTCTGACGCAAGTGCTCGAAGTATAGCCAGTTCTTGGCATTCACAGAGACCACCAGGACATCGTTCTCGTAGAAGTCGATGCGGAAAGGGTCGCCGTGGACCACGGCCTTGTTCTTATCCGATGTGATGACGATCTCCCCGTCGGTTTCTCGCTGGACACGAATGCGTCCGGCCTGCGGTTGTCCCTTGAGGGCATGTTCCACGCGATATCGAGGTCGGAGAGGCTGCTTCTCGTCGATCTGCAGGCGGAACGTGCTGCCCTCCAGTGCTTCCAGCTTAAAGGCGAACTGGTGGTGATTCTCCTTGTTCACCAGATCGGCGGTCAGTGAGTCGGCATAGGTGTTCAGGGTGCCCGGGATCAAGGCGTACTTGCTGCCCGCACTCTGAACCTTCCGGGAACGTCTGAAACAAAATAAATTGTGTTGTGAGTTGGGATTAATATTAAAATCACTTCAAACATTATTTAAGGGTTTAAAGACCATGTCGCCTAATTTCAAATTACTTCTTATTAGTAAATTCAAAAAGAACATTTTTTCTTTGTTTATTAAACCTTATTGATGCATATCTACTCTTTATTGAGGACTAAGGGAAAGAGAACTGAGTTGGCTTTTATGAACTAATGTACAGTACGCAGTCAATTTTAAAAGATATAAAATAAAGACAGGATGCCGAACTTTGGCTATAAAAAGCAGCTGCATAGCTTCGGTTGCCGAATAGCCTTGCAATTAAAACTCAAAAGTATATAATACTGGACTCATCACCAATCTCTAATAGCAAGGTCTTTTTCTATTGTTAGTTCGCTTTTTTAAAACGTAAGCGATAAAGTGTTATGCATAGTACCTCTCTAGTTAAGTCAAATTTACCATTATTGTTATCATCTATGTGATATAGTGGTCAGATGTTTATTGAAATAACTTTTTAAAATCCATTATCGTAACAAATTGATAAATGTCGAGCTAGATGAATGCACTTTCTACTTTTCTATTTTTTTTTTCGGTTTTTTCCTATGACAGTTATATGATATATTATAAGGAAGCCTATCCTTCGAAGTTCAAAAGTCGTTAGGAAACTCTATATCCAAAAAATTATGCTTTTATGATAAAAAAAAAGATACAAATTATAATTTTGTTACATTCATTTTATAAAGATTTTTCGATCTTCCTATGACAGCTACATGTCATCCGATTTTAAGGAAGCCAAACTAAAAATTGAAGAGTTATAAGAAAATCCTATCAACCAAAATACTTGCCGTATTATAAGAATTACGGCATTATATTTTGCTTCCTGTTTCGATTCGGACATAAGTACGTGTATATAGTACCTGCAATACGTAAGCGTATTGGGCAAGGTTGTGCAGGCTGACTAATTCTCATAGAAACAGACAGACGTGTTTCCTTCACTCGTTGCAAACTCCTAGTAAAATTTATAAAAATAGTACGAAAATATATATTTACATACGCCAGTAATAGGGGGGATGGGGGATGTCCGCCAGCCATTAAAACTCACCGGCAGAAACTGCTCTGTTCACAGGTCTTGAAGTTCCCGGGATCCACTCCGTCGACCAGGAAAAAGAATGCCGAGATAATGGCCACAAAGCCAAGGGCAAATCGCATGGTGCCTGACTTTGTTTTTACCTGGAAAATATTAGTTTAGACTTAGTATTGTATTTTCCCACGGCCGGGCAGCTGTTTGTTTTTGTTGCGCTAACTTGCGTTGCCTACTCTAACTGTAAAACTAATGTACACGTCAGAGCAGTGGCCTAAAAATGATAACCCATTGTCAAAAAAAAAAACCTCTGGGAAGTGCATCTTAAATGCATTTCAGTAGAATTACCCTTTGCTTAACCCCAGGCCACTTCGCGTTGGATACACAGGAAAAATATTAGATGACATCGAATCTATAGGTCAGCCTTTCAGCTGCTTCTTCGGGAAAAAGTTTGGAATATGGTCGTAAAAATATGTCGCCGGTTATTAATGCACTTTATGCTGGCACTATGCTCCTGAGAGATTCGCAGGCTGCATAATCGATTCCCCATACTCAACATGTCCCGATATAACCAACCTTTTCGTTTAAAACAGCTTCCTCTGGGTGTAAAATATTGTTAATAAATTTAATAAAAAATTTTGCAGAGGGCACCCGCAATGTGACCGTCGCTATACGTTTAAAATATACCGTATATGTGGTTACAATATACTTATTGTGGCATAAAACCCTCAACTCAAAAATGGTTTATGTCTCCGATATTTTGTTGCGCCGTTGTACGGAATAGTTCAAAATTCTAGTTTGTAATTCAACAACAAAGAAATATTCGATGACTATCCCAGCGGGAAAGTGGGAAGTTGGTTTTTAGTGTACTTGAAATCCTGCTCCTTTTAGCAGGCAGTAGTGTAGGAATAGATAATTTCGATTTGATTCCTCCCAGATGGCATTTTCTAACTGCTACTGAATTTCGGATTAAATTTTATCAAAATCAGATAACTCTATCATATAGCTCCCATAGCTCCCATAGCTCCCATAGGAGAGATCAAAATACATACATATATGTATATAAATAATGGAAAAAAATTATAATGTCGTTGTTTTCAATGACACGAGCATGATTTTTGGAGCATCAAGTTAAATACTCTTAAATCGAGAAAAAAAATTCATAAAAATCGGAGTACTATATCATATAGCTGCCATAGGAAAGATCGAAAAATCTATATAGGAAATAAAATTATTACCTCGTTGTTTTTCATCAGACAATCATGATTTTTGAAATATAGAGAAATAAAATCGGTCGACTATATCATATAGCTATCATATGAACAATATGGAAAATTAATAGAAAAATCGTCATAGATTCGATGCTGTTTAGCCTTTTTTATTTTGTTAGACATATTTAATGATTGCAAGGGTATATAAGCTTCGGCTTTCCGAAGCTAGCTGCCTTTCTTGTTTTAAATTCATGCAGCTGATTTGTGTATAAAGTGATTTGTTTTAAATATATGTATTATGTTTTCAAATAATTTTATTTGTATTTAAGTATAAAAGGTTTATTTTTTGCAGATAAGCTTGTTTAAAAACAGACGACTTCTTTCAGACGACCTGTTATTTAAAATGAATTATTCGGGAAAGATGGGACAGATCGGCCTAGTGAAATATAATATTTTCACAAACGTACTGTACGGTAATTATACTTATTTTTCTAAATTCCGTCGCCACGACACAAAAAAGCTAAAAATGCTGCCCCAATTGCAACCGTAGCTAGATCAACACCACCAAGCTGCGAGAGCAGCTTCCAACTCTCCCCGGAAGCAGTAGGTCTCTTAACGCTCAAAAAAACGTCTCAGACGTGAGTTTATTAGAACGAACGACCCAGCGATCGACCGACTGTATAGAAGGATCTCCAACAGGGTAAGAAAGGTTTTAACCATCTTGAAGAGAGAAGCCACAGATGCCTTCCTGGAAAGAGTCACCCCCGATGAATCCTCAAATTTTGCGCTCTGGAAACTTACAGGAAGATTCAAGAGGCAAGTGGCGCCTAAATTTCCAGTACGAAACCCTGATGGCTCTTGGGCAAGATCCCCTCAGGATAGAGCGGAAGCATTTGCCAAAAATTTAGAGGAGAGATTCCAGCCGTTTAAGACAGCATCCCCGAACAGAGTACAGCGAGTGAATGAGTCTCTGGAAGCCCCCCTGCAAATGGCGCTCCCTGTAGCCCCCATCACCCACTTTGAAGTGGAAAAGGAGATTAAAGCACTCTGTAACAACAAGGCTCCAGGTGAGGACCAAAAGGCCAATATAATCATGCTGCACAAGAGCGGAAAGCCAGCAGACGACCTGGACTCATATCGCCCGATAAGCCTTCTGCCAGCGTTCGGAAAAATATTGGAGAGGTGCATACTGAGGAGAATACTCGATAGCAGGGCTGTCAAAAAGGCAATCCCAAAGCACCAGTTTGGCTTCAGGCTAAGACACGGCACGCCAGAGCAACTGCACCGAGTTGTTAACTTCGCTCTTGATGGTTTTCACAGGAAAGAGTTTGTTGTTGGAGCTTTTCTCGATATCCAGCAGGCTTTTGACAGGGTTTGGCATGCAGGACTCCTGCACAAGCTCAAAGCGCTACTCAACCCACAGCTCTACTTAATCATCAAAAGCTTCCTGGATGAGCGCTCCTTTAAAGTCGTACAGGATGGCCGATCATCTCAGGCAAAGAGAATCAGCGCTGGTGTTCTCCAAGGTAGCGTGTTGGGGCCAACACTATACAGTTTATTCACGCACGACATGCCCTCAACCGGGGACCCCAACAGCCTACTAATCGCCACCTTTGCCGACGACACTGCAATACTGAGCAGAAATCAATGCGTCTACACCGCCACTGTTCTTCTTCAGATGTACCTGAAAAAATTCGGAAACTGGGCCTGTAGATGGAACATTGCCATAAACCCTGACAAGTGTGTAACAGTCACATACACACTAAAAAAGGACACCTGCCCGGGCTTATTCCTGCACGGCGAGCTGCTAAGCCAAAAGGACGCCCATAAGTACCTCGGCGTCACTCTGGACAGAAGACTGACGTTCCAGCGCCACATATTGGAGGTAGTCAGGCGACTTAGAGCAAAGGCGAGTAGCATGGCTTGGCTCCTCAATAGCAGAAATAAGCTATCGCCCAAAAAATAAGGCCAGCATATACAAAGTTATACTGGCACCCATCTGGAGATACGGCATTCAGATTTACGGCACAGCAGCAAGATCCAACCTTAATAAAATACGCACATTGCAGTCCAAAATCCTGCGTAGAATGTCTGGTGCAGCATGGTACATTGGCAACAGAGACATCGATAACGATCTTCAAGTACCGAAGGTCGGAGATGTTATCAACCGGCAAGCTCAGGCGTACCTATGCAAGTTGTCGAATCACCCGAACCAACTGGCGAGAAGGCTCCTAAGAAGGACACGCATTCACGGAGCAAGGGTGAGAAAAAGGCTCAAGCGCGTTCACCCATCTGATCTCAACACCAGAATATTATAATACCCCGTCCTCAAATACCCACCCTATCATCTAGGCTTAAGTATGTACATTTGTATATATTATGTTGAACCTGTAATTCCCTTTAGTATAAGTCGCTATAAATAGTGACAGTAAGCTAAATAAACAAGAAAAAAAAAAAAAAACAAAAAAAAAAAGTCATTGGTCTGTAAATAGATTAATAAATGTTGTGTTTGTGGAATAGGGAGGGGGTGGTGGAAAATCAGCTATTGCAATTGAATGGAAATTCAATATTGAAGTTCAATGGAAAAGCAAATATGGCAGGGAAGTGGAAAATCAGATACTGTAAAGCAGTGGAAAACCCAAAACTGCGAGGGTGTGGAAATGCACATATTGCAAGGAGTGGAAAACCTTAACTGAGTACATGTGGAAATTCTGTTAAGCGGGAAGGCCAAAAATCAGTGGATTTTGGGCTCCATTCACCAGCCAGAGATCCACATATGTAGAAACCTCATTCACCCCTCACTTTTTGTGTCACCCCCGTGTATTTTGAAACCAGCGATGGAAGAAATGTAAGAGGTGAATGAGGTTTTGTCCCTTCCGCTTGTATGGAGAAACCTCATGAAAATAACATATTTTCCAGAGGTATTTTCCCGCTGGGTATGCGAACGCGGCGTCCACATTGCATTGATTTCCCGTTTTGCGGGTCGGAAAAGCCTCCCTTACTGCATCGCGATGCACCACAGAACTTCGTAGTTCGTAATTTAAAACGTATATAATTTAGCGGTCATTGGAATGCCATCGTAAATTTATAAAAAGTGGTTAAAACAAAAAGTAAAAACTTGAATACCAAAAAATATTTTAACTTAATACATATGTGTAGACACCGGAAATTGTCAGATCAAAACCATAAAAGAAGCGATCTCTAAACTCTTAAAAAACATGCATATAAGAGTTGTTAAATATTCCCAATGATATAGCTAATGCTTTACAGTTCAGAACTTCCTATACAAGCTAAAGATACGCGAAAAGTCGGAATCGTTCTTTCCTCATGAAATGTGCACCGAGCACCCGTCAGAAAAAGCATTTGGGTGTTCAGAGTGGACAAACAGGCAGATTTATTGTGGCAAGAAGCAGGTAAGCGGTGCTACGGTGCAGGGAACCCAAGCCTCCGGAGTCTGGAGCTCGGAGCTCGGAGGCTGGTCCAGTGTCCAGTCGGAGCTGATCAGTACTTGATCAGGTTGCTGACCGGGAAGGAGCGCCTCAGGCTCATGCACTTCTCCCGGTCGATGAACAGGGCGTTGACCTTGTTGCGCAGGTCCACCTCCAGGGTGCAGCGCGTCTTGAGCAGACCCTGGTGCGTGGCCTCCGCCTCCTGCAGCTTGTGGTGCAGCGTCTCCACGGCGCCCTGGATGTCCTGCACCTCCTGGACGAGCCGGTCCTGGGCGTGGTCCTTGCACAGCTCGACGCCCTCGCGGTGCGAGCGGGCCTCCAGCCGCGTCTGGGCCACCTTCAGCGGACCGGACTTGTCCTGGATGGCCTTCTGCAGCAGGAAGAGGTGCTTCTCCATGTCGAACAGCTCCTGCTGCACCTTCTGCAGGTGCAGCTGGACGCGGTTCTTGGCCTCGGCCATCTCCTGGGCGCGCCGGTCGAAGGCGTTGTTCGTGTTGCTCCAGAAGTCCCACACGGTGGTGGCCACCGAGTTCACCACGCTCTGCGAGTCGCTGCGCAGCTGGGAGAGCTTGGCGCGCTCCGCCTGTGACCTGTCGGAGCAGAGAGTGCGAATATATATATATATATACATACATATATGAATGTTATATACTATACATAATTATATTTATACATAATTATATATTGAAAGGGGAACTGAATTGGGAGAGTTTAGAACAGTGTAAAATAAATAAATGAAAGCTATTAAAAACTTCTTCAACAAGTCTGTAGATAGCGGCTTTGATACGATTGTTTCGATTGTTTCGATTGCTTCGATAGTTCGAACAGAAATGCAAGTGTGTACGTGGACTGCCAGGGGAGGAGGGGCTAACAGCATCTTGCTGTGGAAGACCACTTGGGTGGCCAAGGCCGAGTACTCACCGGCGGACGTGCTCGCTGCTGGCCTGCGCCCAGGACTCCTGGGTGCTCACCGAGGGGTCGAACTTCTCGATGCCGCCGTAGTAGGTGATGCCGCGACTGTGGTTGTTCAGCTGGTGGCACATGGAGTCGATGCCCAGCGAGGACTCCTTGTGGGAGACGTCGTCCTCCAGCAGGTGCTGGGCGCCACGGCAGTCGAGCGCTTGCTTCGAGATCTTCTCGTGCAGACCGCCGAGGCGGTCGCGCGAGTTGCGCAGGTTGTTGATCTCGACGAGGAGCGCCTTCTCGACGATGTCGTGCACCTTCTCGGTGCCCTGGCGGGACTCGCGGTGGAAGAGGCACTCCTGGGCGATGTGCAGCGGGATCTCCAGGTCGAGGAGCGCCTTGCCGCACTGCCGCTGCAGCTCGTTGATGTCCGACATCTCGGCGATCAGCTTCTCCAGCTCCGCGTTCAGCTCGTTGCGCCAGAAGGTGAGGTCGGTGATCCGTTCGCCCAGCCGCCGCCCGGCGTCCCGCTGGCCCGAGGTCGCCTTCTCGTCCGTCTCCCGCATCAGACGCACTGCGTCGTTGCGCATGCGCTCAGACAAGTTGCTGGAGCGGAGTAACGTGGCAATTGGCAATCACAACCGGTAAATAAATAGATTAAATGAAGGAGCTGAACAAAAAATTCAGATGCATTTCGGATGGGTTCCATTACTCAAACATGTATACCCATAATAGCTTTAATTAGGCATCTCCTTTAAAGAGAAGCAAGATCTACTCGAAAACAGTGCTGATCGAAATGGGAACCAAAAAGGTGCTCCACAATCCAGGTAACACTGGTGCAGTCCCCATTAAATCGTAATCAGTAAATCGGAAGGACTGCGCGTAAAGATGGGAACTCGCACCCCCACTTACCGGTTCATGTTGGACTCGGAGTACTTGGTCATGTTGTTGTTGTACCACTCGTTGCTGGTGTACCGCGTGTAGAGGGCGGCCCGAGCGGCGTGCTGGGGGTTGCGGTCGAACCCGGTGACCAGGTTGGGGAAGATCATCCCGTCCGTCTTCATGCCCTTGGGCAGGAAGCACTGCTTGGTCAGCTGGTTGGTCACCGGCTGCTCGGGCAGGTGCTTCACCTGGATCAGCTCGTAGGCCATGGCCGGGCGCCACGGGTGCTTCGTGGGCGTCTCGTAGGCGGCGCCCACTCTCGGCGGGATCGAGGGTCCCATGACGGGCTCCATGCAGGGGGAGCGCCCGCCTGGCTCCATGGCTGCAATTGGGAATACATGACCGTGGTTTGCGGGATGCCCGTTCCCGCGGCTCCGCCACCCGCCCCGTTGTGGGCCATCGTGGTCAGTGGATAAAAGTGGGTTCAAGTGGATTAAAGTGGAGGTGTGTGCTTTCGGTTCTGTTTCGGATCGAGGCGGTGGTGCGGTGTACTGCAACCTGAGGCGTGTAACTTTTAATTTGTGCCACGTGAAATTTTGACTACGTGCAAGCGATTTCTCGACAACTTGAAAAAAAAATACGGATACGGAATCGTAACCTCTCTCGGAGCGGAAACAACTGGACTGGGTAATGTTCTGGGTCTGGCCAGGTGACAGGTCTACGAACGCTGTAAAGGCTTGCTTTGATGGCCCATAGAACGTCTAGCCTCTATCCTCGCATTCAAAACTTTAAATATTATTTAATAAGCATATAATATTATGTACATTTTAGGGGCATACTTTCTCTATACTTATATTGATTTCGGGAAATTAAAAATGATGTGCCAGTTGAGGTATTACCGATTCCATATGACAATTTGATTTGTAACCAGGCTTCGGAGTTTCAATACTCAAACCTCAACTGAAGCCTTTCGGGTTTAAAGGGTGGCTTTGAGGGTCCTTCTGATCCCTTGAAATATATACACACTTATACCTTAAATAGTCACTATCGAGCCTTTCTCCCTCTTTCTTTTTTGTTAATGACCTACACCTTCGTACATAGTAGCCAGGGTGATCAGAGGTTAGTGGTCAAAGGGATTGGCGGATACTCAGCGAGGTGCGGTGGTGCAAAGCGATACCCTGTGCTGCGGCGTGGAGTAATGGGCTATGATATGAACTGGGCCGGTACATAGGACTCCATGAGGTTGCGGTGGTCCTTGCGCTCGTTGTACTCGTTCATGTCGGCGGTGGGCCACTTGTCCAGCAGGTTGTCCTTGACCAGGCGGTGATCGAAGATGCGGTTCTCGAGGTAGGAGTGCTTGTGGAACTTGAGCACCTCCTGCCCTTTGAGGGGTGCCATGGTGCCGGCGTGTTGGGACTCCCACTCGGGGCACGGGGCTCGGGGCACTCACTATCGGTACGCTGGATCGCAGGAGCAGGTTCTTGAGCGTTTCGGGCGCCTTTTGCTGCGGATTCGGGTAGCGTTGGCTCAAATAGTGATCCTCGTTCGCCCAGCAGAGCATTGGTCGATGGGCAGTGTTTGTATGTATATTACCAGCTGGTTTTCCCCGCAACCCCGCTCGGTTGGTCTGCTCGGTCCAACGGCTCTGCTTCAAGTGACTCGGACACCACAGCCAGGCCTCTTTCCGGGATAACTTATTGATTAAACTCGGTAGCTTGGCAGCGACATCGCTTGGCAATGGCTTCCCCCCGACTTCGAATTTGTAAAATCAATGGCAATGACACGGGTTTATTGACCCACTTGCCAACGGGGTCAGACTGGGTCGCAGCCCCGCAATTCACTCGCGAATCATTGACCTTGCTCAGCATGAAACTAATTATGACTTCGCTGATCAGATGATCTAGTTGCACACCCTTTCAGTCTGAAGACTGAAGCAAAGTGCTTTACGGTTTGCACAGAATTTCGTACTACAACTTTCCCCACTACAACTGAAAACTGTGCTTAAAGCCGTATATTTATTTAAACACTCAACTACAAGTACGTTTGGTATAGAACTATCGGATTCACTAGAGAATAAGCAACGCAAACAGGATAGAATAACACTGTGGGTCCCACTAGTTGGGACCGCCGCCCGCCGGCTCCTGCTGCTTGAGCGTCTTGAGGTTCTTCTCGAAGCGCTCGAACTCGCTGTCGATCATCCGGTCCGCATCGTCGAAGACCTGCTCCACGGACTCCACCTCCGGGATGTAGAACTGCAGCATGTTCTGCACGCCGTTCTTCAGCGTCACGATGGAGCTGGGGCACGAGGAGCAGGAGCCCTGCATCTTCAGCTTGACAACGCCGCCCTCGTAGCCCATGAAGACTATGTCGCCGCCGTCCTCCTGGACGGTGGGCCGGATGCGGGTGTCCAGCAGCTCTTTTATCATCATCACCGTATCGTCGTCGTCCTCAAGGATCTCGGTGTCCGCGTTCGGCTGGGCGTCGTGCAAGACGGGCAAGCCGCTGGCGAAGAAGTCCATGATGACGGCGAACACCTCCGGCTTGATCAGGCTCCACTCGGCGCCCTCTTGCTTCGAGATGGTGACGAAGTCGGAGCCGAAGAACACGCCTCGCACGCCCTCCACGCGGAAGAGCAATTTGGCTGGAAACGGAAAAAGGAAACTGATTAAACACCTTGCGACTTGCAGTATTAGTGCTAGATGAACCAGAGATTAGGTGAATTACGAGTATATATTAGCTGCAGCAGCAACAAAACGAATGTATTACATGGAACTAGAATGCTGATGCGGAAAATATGTATGTGTGTATAAAATATATCCATGGGCCATTAGGTTTCCTTTACTAAGAACTAACTCTTGACTGAATTCATTAAACCCCTGCAGCGGTGTGTAAATATCATAAAGGAACTATAGGAACCATCGAAATAGTACCTTGTGTATCTAGTGCGGAAAGAACGAGATTACACTCGTGAAGTTAGCGCCCGAGCGCAGCGAGGGCAGCTATACACGAGTGTGATCTCGTATTTACCGTACGAGATACACACGGTGCTTTTTGTCCATAAACCCGTTAAATTTGGCATTTTGAGTGCAAACTGCCGATTACGCACGGGTTATGGTAAACAGCTGAAAACAGCGATCTACCGCACGGAATAGAGGCACGAAAAATGCCAAATTACCGGGTTGTATGACAAAAATGTTATAAAAGGTAAATTGAAAAGACGTAATGCAAAAATTGGAAAAAAGTACCTTATCCTGACTTTGTCGTTACCTATTTATCTATAAGGTGCTTTGTCCTTAAAAGTTGGTCTTTCTACTGTCTATATAAGCTTAATCGCGGAAGTCGTCGGACCAACGCTTGTTGAATATTTATTTGTAGTGGTTGCATTGGTATAACAATTCTCTCCTCTGTACGAGAAGGTCTTTTTTGGCCCAGTGACCAAAAGTTGGTGAATACCATCTCATGAATACCGGCGTTGTTAACACAGATAGGAGAGCATATTCCGTGGGAAACGCCCTACTTTGCAGATTTTTGCATGCCCAATGATTCAGAATATGAACCTTAAAGTTACTCTAAGTTCTGTGTAAGTTAACTAAAGTTAACCCGACAAGAAAAAGCATTTGATCGATTGCTGGCTAACAGCTAACATACACAGCACATTTACCAGCTATGAGTCTCCAACTTATGTTAACTTTAAGTTAAACAAGAAAGGAAGCTATATCCTCTTGCAGACATCAAATATGTCGAGCAAAATACATAAATACATACAAACGATTTTTCAATTCAGTTTCTATATTTTCGACGATTGTTCATATGACAGCTACATGATATTCGAAATTCCAAAAATGATGCTTGTCCAATGAAAAATGTACTTTATGGAATCTGAGGTCTCCTTCACTGCTCTACAAACTTCTGACTGAAATTATAATACCCTCTGCAAGGGTATACAAATTGTATTCAGCCCTACATACATATTTATTATTCAGAAGAATTGAACTGCAACTTTGACAGAAGTTATTTAACTTTTGTTTTTTTCTCTGCAAAATCTCAAGGCTAGTAATTAAAAGTGAGTAGTTTCCTCTTTCCGTAAAAATAAACTAATATCGAAGGGATAGCTTCCCTGGTGGCTAGATTATATATATAGATTACTATACACTATATACTAGAGAACCCCCGAAGTAAAATTAATTTATTTAGTTTAGATTTTAGAGTAACGAGGATCCCTTAGGGAGGTCCTTTCTGGTCCCTACTCACCCAACGGACTGATGTGCGCGGTGGTTCCGTTGGGAAAGTCGTAGGTGTTGCCCTTTCCCAAAACCTCCACGCCGGGCAGGAACTTTAGGCTGTCCGGATTCGGGGTGTCCTGCGTCTGAATGAACATGCTCCTTCTGGCCGCCAGCGGCATCTGCATCTGCAGGAGCCCTCGCCCTTGGCCATTTTGATATCCTGGTTTTAGCGGCGCCGGTTCTGGATTGTTACGTGTGGCGACAATACCCCCAAAGTTGCGCGCTCTGAAAACAGCACATGATTGTAGTTCTGGCATCCACAATTTCTTCCAAGGAATACTCACAGCTGAAGCGAACCAAGGCACCTGGCTCTAAGTGTATTTAGAGCCGTTTGCGACAATAATTTCGACATCCTGTTCGCTTTTGCGTTTGATAACGAAATACTATTGTAAAATCAGCTGTCAGCAAGCAGTCTGGCAGCCCTGTCGCAAGGTGCTGGTTAGCTTTGACTCAAACCCGCTACACTTGGAACAAATCTAACAACTTGGGCGTGGAGTTTTAGACATTTTTCGTGGTTTTCATGTCCAAAATCCAAACCAAGAATTATGCATGTGGATCAACACAACGAAGTTTTGGCGGTTTTCTCATTAGTTCATCGAACGTTCCCGTGGTTGCCTTAAGATTATCTAATTTAATCTTATTATTTTCATATTTGTGTTGAAAAAGAACATTTAATATCTCACAAAAACTATTTTTTGGCTTCCCAGCAAAAGAATCCAAAACTAACAATCCACACGCAAAATGAACCACATCGTTCTTTTGCTTTTCATATTTCACCGGAAGTACATATTTACATACAGTAGAATCCTGTTATAACGACTCCGCTTATAGTGTCCGTCCGGTTTTTGCGACGAAAACTCCATGGGTTGATTGGTCCCTATACAGACTTATACACTTAAATCCTTCTGCTTAGTGCGTCTTCCGGGTATAACGACGAAAAATCGTCGGTCCCTTGAAAGTCCCTATAAGCGGATTCTACTGTATTTGAAATCGATTGCTCTTGAACGCTTTAGAAAGAGACAGACGACGATAAAGATCAGACTTTATTCTTTGTACGGTTGGGATTGTCTTCTTCAGAGTTACAAAACGCATGACAAAAACTACAAAATCACCTGCCAAGTATACAAACATGTTTCATTTATAAGCACCTCTGTTCGGTGCATTTATTGTACAATTATTATTGAAGTATAAGTTTCGTTAATAAGTATATCTTTTAGTGGCTTTAATGCTACAGAAACACATACCATCAACATATTTATGAATTACATAATCTTAGGAAAATAAAAATACCATATAAAACACGCTTCGTATCAGAGCGGTTTCTAAAATCGTATAGAATCTGTTGCGCATTTGACTTTACGGCAGCAGTTTTTGAATAAGGCCGTTAAGCGGGGTGTGGGTGTGTTCCGCAAAGAATGTCTAACCAGCGTTTGAAAATGCAACGCAACTCCGTAGTTTTTGGTTTTGCTCTCGACACCTGCCTGTTTTTGAAAACAGCCGGAAAGATGCCATAGCAGAAAAAGGAAGAGGTATGTGCCCTGCTCTGCTTGCAGCTCACTATCAAGTTTAAAGTCACAAAACCAATACATCTTCGGTTTTCTCCTATGTTTAACAAGAAAGGAAGCTAGCTTCGGCAAGCCGAAGCTTATATACCCTTGCAGTCATTAAATCTGTCTAACAAAATACATAAATAAAGGCTAACAACATCGAATCCATGACGATTTTTCTATTATTTTTCCATGTTGTTCATATGACAGCTATATGATATAGTCGTCCGATTTTGACGAAATTAAATTTGTAACTCAAGACTCATTAGAAAACTCTATATTCCAAAAATCATGATTGTCTGATGAAAAACAACGAGGTTAAAATTCTATTTCTCTTATTTCTAAATAGATTTTTCGATCTTTCCTATGGCAGCTATATGATATAGTACTCCGATTTTTATGAAATTTTTTTCTTGATTTGGGATTATTAAAAAAACTTTTTGTTCCAAAAATCATGGTCGTGGCATTGAAAAGAAGGACATTATAATTTTTTTCCCATTATTTATATATATATTTTTTGATCTCTCCTATGGGAGCTATATGATAGAGTTATCCGATTTTGATAAAATTTAATCAGAAATTTAATAGCAGTTAGAAAACGCCATCTGGAAGGAATCAAGTCGATCTGATCAAAAACAACGGAGTAAGAATTTTTTATTTCATTCTCTCGTATGGGAGCTATCCGATATAGTCGGCCGATCCGGCCCGTTCCGACTTATATACTGCGTCCAATAACTACACACATTTTGGAAAGTTTTCAGCGAGATAGCTTTAAAACTGAGAGACTAGTTTAGGCAGAAACGGACAGACGGACAGACTGACAGACGGACAGACGTACAGACGTATTCGGATTCTGCTCGTGATGCTGATTAAGAATATATATGCTTTATGGGGTCTGAGGTGTCTCCTTCACTGCGTTGCAAACTTCTGGCCAAAATTATAATACCCTTTGCTCTGCAAGGGTATAATAAGGTTCCGGCAATGTTCAAAGTCAGAGAGGCAGCGGTTGCAGAGCAGAACTTTTATGCTGGTCTTAAGCTGTGTCGCCATAGGCGAAGTTCGTTCCGAACAGAGTGTTGCACACTTCTACGGCCACGTTGCGACGTGCGATCTTCTTCGACCTTCCGTTGGCAGTAAACTCGCGATTGTCCACTGTAATTCCCAGATGTTGCAGCACATTGGGCTTGTCGCCAGAGGCTCCATAGTCCACGTAAATGAGTCCCGGACGCATCTGTGGCAGGATTAATTAGTTACTGTATACTATTTAAAGGGTGTTGCAACATACAATGCAAAGAATGGTGGCCGGGTGCATGGTCTCCCAGCCGGAGGGCAGCTCGGTGCGTACTGGTGGCTTCTTCGGCTCCTTGGGAACCGCAGGAACCGGCGGTGCGGCTTCACCTCCTGCCTGCTGGCCAGCATTCGCCGACGGGTGCATCTCGGGCACGACGAAGCCCTCGCGCTCCCACTCTGCGAACAACTTGTAGATGGCAAACGAGGCCAGGTTTAGCATGGGAAGGTCATCCTCCGGTGCGTCCACTTCATCCTTGTTGGTCTCCATGGGCTCTCCGTTTTCACCGATCATCAGCCTGGGCGGCTTTGGCGTCATCTTTGCAATGATGAAGTCGCGCCAAGCCTTCTCGCAGGCCGCGTTCTTGGCTGACATCTTGGAGAGACCCTTGCCCTCGTACTGGTTGGAGTTAACCGTGACAACGGCCGTGAATCCCCGTCGGGATTGCTGTCTATGGTGAAGTCGCTGATAGTCACGCCCTTCACCTCGTTGAGGGCCATCAAGGCGTTCTTCGGCAGCATGTACTTGCGCAGCTGACGGTTCTGTCGCAGCTTCTTGTCTCGAGTTCGCTCTGGGGAAACACAAAGAAGATCGTAATAGCCTCAACAAACATGAAAGGAAGCTAGCTTCGGCAAGCCGAAGCTTATATACCCTTGCAGTCATCAAATATGTCGAACAAAATACATAAATGGTAAACAACTATGACGGGTTTTCTATTAATTTTCCACATTTCGACTATTGTTCATATGACAGCTATATGACATATGACAACGATGTTATCATTTTTTTCCGTTAATTATATATATAGTTTTTTCGATCTTTCCTTTGGCAGCTATATCATAAAGTTGTCCGATTTTTATGAAATTTTTTTCTCGATTTAAGGGTATTAAAACAAGAAAGGAAGCTAGCTTCGGCAAGCCGAAGCTTATATACCCTTGCAGATCTCAAATATGTCGAACAAAATGCATAAAGCCTAACAACATCGAAGCTATGACGATTTTTCTATTCATTTTCCATATTTTCGACTACAGATCATATGGGAGCTATATGATATAGTTTTCCGATTTTGATCAAATTTAATTCGTAATTCAAGAATCGTAAGAAAACTCTTTATTCCAAAAACCATATTTGCCTGATGAAAAACAACGATGTTATAATTTTATTTCCGTTATTTCAATATAGATTTTTCGATCTTTCCTATGGCAGCTATAAGATATAGTTGTCCGATTTTTATAATTCGGACAAATATATCATATAGCTGACATACGAACAATAGTCGAAATTATGGAAAATTAAAAGAAAAATCGTCATAGTTTCAAGGTTGTTTAGCCTTTATGCATTTTGATCGACATATTTGATGACTGCAAGGGTAAATAAGCTTCGGCTTGCCGAAGCTAGCTTCCTTTCTTGTTTATATATGTATTTTTATACCCTTGCAGAGGAAAAGGGTATTATAATTTCAGTCAGAAGTTTGCAACGCAGTGAAGGAGACACCTCAGACCCCATAAAGTATATATATTCTTGATCAGCATCACGAGTAGAATCAGAATACGTCAGTACGTCTGTCCGTCTGTCTGTTTCTCTTCAAACTAGTCTCTCAGTTTTAAAGCTATCTAGCTGAAACTTTGCAAAAAGGTGTGTAGTTATTGCACGCAGTATATAAGTCGGAACGAGCCGGATCGGCCGACTATATCGGATAGCTCCAATACGAGAGAATGAAATAAAAAATTCTCAGGCCGTTGTTTTTGATCAGATCGACTTGAATTCTTCCAGATGGCGTTTTCTAACTACTATTGAATTTCGGGTTAAATTTAATAAAAAACGGATAACTCTATCATATAGCTGCCATAGGAGAGATCGAACAATATATATAGAATTAATGTAAACAAATTGATAACATCGTTGTTTTTTATCCCACGAGCATGAATTTTGAATATCAATTTTTTTAACAACTCTTATATTGAGAAAAAAGTTTCATGAAAATCGGACAACTATATCTTATAGCTGTCATAGGAAAGATCGAAAAATCTATATAGAAATAACGGAAGTAAAATTATAACATCGTGGTTTTTCAACAGACAAGTATGATTTTTGAAATATAGAGTTTTCTTACGACTCTTAAATTACGAATTAAATTTGATCAAAATCGGACAACTATATCATATAGCTCCCATATCATCTATAGTCGAAAATATGGAAAATGAATAGAAAAATCGTTATAGCTTCGATGTTGTTTAGCCTTTATGCATTTTTTTTTTTGACATATTTGATGACTGCAAGGGTATATAAGCTTCGGCTTGCCGAAGCTAGCTCCCTTTCTTGTTCGATCTTTCCTATGTCAGCTATATGATAGTTATCCGAGTTTGACAAAATTTAATCCGAAATTCAATAGTACTTAGAAAACGCCATCTTGAAGAAATCAAGCCGATCTGATCAAAAACAACGGCCTGAGAATTTTTTATTTCATTTTCTCGTATGGGAGCTATCCGATATAGTCGGCCGATCCAGCCCGTTCCGACTTATATATTGCGCGCAAAACTACACAACTTTTGGGAAAATTTCAGCAAGACTTTAAACTTGAGACTAGTTTACATAGAAACCGACAGGAGGACAGACGGACAGACGTACAGACGGATTTGGATTCTGATTGTAATGCTGATCAATAATATACATATATACTTTATGGGGTCTGAGGTGTCTCCTTCACTGCGTTGCAAACTTCCGACTGGAATTATAATACCCTTTGCTCTGCAAGGGTAAAACAACTTTAAAGTAACATTGCTTCTTCAGTTGATTGTATGTAAATTATAAGAAGTGCTATAGTGCGATTGGCACAGGATGAGCTATTACGAGAATCGCTTACAGCCAACTAAATCGTTTTTTTTGCTCTTACCAGACGACTTCTTGCGCTTCTGGAAGATCTTCTTAAAGGGGATCTTGCCTCCGTTTCCGGTACCGCTGCCGTTCTCCTCGCTAATGTCGATGGAGAAGTCCTCGTTGGGTTCCGGCTCGCTGACCATCTCATTAGGCTCCTCCTTCACGATAATGGGCATGGGCAGCTTGGCGGCGATGGCGGCCGCATCCGGCCTCTTGGCCTGGACAGAGTCTGCCACCGGAACGGGAACTGGGAGAGGGGCCGGTGGCGCATGGGAGGCCACCGAAGGAGCCTGCTGCTCCGCGACATTGGTGGCCTGCAACGGCTGTTGGATCAAGGGCTTGGCGCTGGCATTGGGGTTCTGCGTTTGCAAAAGAGTTTCGTTAGCTGATTAGTTGGCGAAGGGATGGATTTTTGTCGCTATGATCCCCTGGACAAAATCTCTCGCAGCGGGCTAATCCAGTGGGTCAACTAAAAAGGGACTCGCTGGCAAACGGAAACCATCAAGTCATCAAGACACCCGGAAGCATCAGGCTGGTCGTCTGGTCTACTAAAAACCATAGTTCAGGAACTAGCCATGGCCATTCCTGCGACCCGAGTGCCCCGAAACGAAGGTCTGCGCCGACGGAGCCACGTGGCCAGCCACTGTGGATTCTCCAGCCATCGCATCTGGCCAAGGACTCAGAGACCCGGGACTAGGCAATTCTCGAACCTGACTAATGCATCAACCAACCATTAGGGCAGTCTAAAAGCCACTTGCCTATTGAATTTGGAAAACCAGTTGACAAAATATACCTTAATATTTAGTAGGAAAAGTACCTAATACAATATTTCTGAACGCAAAAACTAAACTAGGTATATTTCATTTTCACCCTAAACTCCAAAAATAACCTTTTAATTTTTAAGAAGAAAATAAAATTTGTTTTTTTTTATCTTGAACTCTTGTTAAAATAGGAATAATATTTGATAAACGCAATTCACGTTATTGTTTTTTAGTAAAACAACAACAATTATTCGGGTGTGGGAAAAATTTGCCGCATTTATAATACAAAGAAAACGGCACTTACATATGGAAATTATTTAGCAGTTTTTAGTTTTTTTGTGAACAAGACTCCATACCAGAAAAGCCCTGAACATGGAACATAATTATTAATTATTTTAAGTAAAGTTAACTCTTTGCAAGTTAAAAAAAAGGTTTATCGAATTCAAAAGGTAGGATTTGCACTATTGTCGGTTAGGGCTGATGAAGTGTCAGATATTGATTGCCTTGGGGGGTAGGGATCCTTAAGTCCTTGGCCTGTGTTCATTGCCGGCGTCTCGTTTCGGTCACTTTCGGTGGAGTGAATGGGCATTGCTATCTGACGCAAAACTAATAATTTTAGTTACAATTTCGGGTGAATGCATTTTCAGTAGCCATAAAAGTTAGCGATAACCGCAAGTCCAGCTTAAAACTTTCGCAGTGCTGGCCATCTCTAGTTGTTCGAAGGCATGGGCATGGTGAAACGAGTGGAATGACTGGAATATGTAGGGTGGAATGTGGATGCTGGAAGTCATGGGGATGCTGGTGAAATTTCGAACAACCGTCTGCACTTTCGATTAACCCGCTTTTAGTGGCTATTGCAAATGGATTCACAATTGGGGTGATACACACATTTTCATATTGTGCGCTGCAAATTATAGAAACGAAAACGGAATCTGTTATTTCTGAAAGTAACTATGCAAATCGCTTTTTATGAATATTTTCAATTTTATCAGGAGCAACGTCATCGTGACGTCACAGGCACCTAATAAATACGCACACATGCTAAAAAATGAAACAATTTGCATTGCAGTTTTTGGGTGAAAAAAAGAATGAGACGCAAGAATCATGTTTTTCCAATGCCGGATAAACCGCTAAATCGTACTTACGTAAATTCCGCCGGAAACAAATGATTTGTTGTTGGCTGTAGTTGGACGACGAGCTCGCTTCATCTTTATTTTTTTTCCGAATTTACTTTCCCGACTTCACCTCAGAAATAGTTTTGTGAAATATAGAGCTGAGAAAAGATGGGTCTAACAAACGATTATATCGATGTTTTGAAATTGTTCGATGTATCGATTCTCTAAAACATCAATGTTTTTCGCAGACTGGGGTAGTGTCACCGATCGCCGTGGTTTTCCACCACGGTGCATCGGTGTTTGACAAAAATGCGTAACGTGATAACTTATCCGATGCACACTCCTAAGCAATCAAATTCACTCTCCTTACCTAGCGAAGACATTTTTCGACTTTAGCAAGTGTACCAACCATCGTTAGCCACGACAATCTTTAGTATATTTAAAAAGCGGAAGTTTTAAATTTTGAAAATTTAGTTGAGTTATTTGGCAATTGGCTCTTAGGTTCAAAATAGTACGTATTTCACTCCCAATTTTATCTTAATTAAAAATCAATTCAATTTTCTTGTACAACATCAATGGGTCTGTGTCATTAACGTATGTATATAATACGCTGGATCTTTTTATTTTCTGGTAACCTAGCTAAGTTTTTATACCCTTGCAGAGCAAAAGGGTATTATAATTTCAGTCAGAAAAATGCAACGCAGATTTTTGGAATATAGAGTTTTCTAACTACTCTTGAATTGCATATTAAATTTCAAAAAAAATCGGACAACTATATCATATAGCTTCCATACGAACAATAGTCGGAAATATGGAAAATGAATGGAAAAATCGTTATAGCTTCGATGTTGTTTAGCCTTTATGCATTTTTTTCGACATATTTGATGACTGCAAGGGTATATAAGCTTCGGCTTGCCGAAGCTAGCTTCTTTTCTTGTTATACCCTTGCAGAGCAAAAGGGTAAGTAGGTAGTTTATGGGCATTCTGGGACAAGTTTTTTGTTTAATTAGCGAGGTTTCGAACCAAAAAGCTCTTTTTAGCGAAGTTTCGAACCAACAAGCTCATTTAGCGAAGTTCTGAGTCAAGAAGCTTTTTAGTTTTGAATTTCTGGATCAAAAAAACAGGTTCATTGATGGCGCGCATATTTAAAATCTTTGTTGGCGCGCATATTCAAATTTCAGAGTGCACATAAACAACCTACTACCTACTACTACTACTACTACTACTACAACAACTACTACGGAGCAAATCCATTGTTGCAGTGAAAGGAATGGATTTGTGGGACGTGTGAGTTTTTGAGAAAATTGCACAGTGTTTGACCTTGAATAATATATTATGGGGAGGTCGGTGGCCGGCCTGCTGCCGGCTTTTGTTGCCGGGCTGGAGTGAATGAGTGAGTGATTGGAGGGGGTTGTTGATAATGTGTGAATGTGGGTCACTTGGGTGAGTGTACTGTGTGAAATTTACATACACAGTATACTGAGTCATGGTATAATAACTACAAGGTAGTCCCGACCCCGGCAGAATTGTTCGGGTTTAGTCCACTATCCGATAGGGCCTATCGCCTCAGTACGCTCGGGTCGCTTGCAGTAAGAGGTTGTCCGCGGACGATTTTTTCTCAAAACGTTAACCCTTGTTTAACCCCGACGGTTCGATCGGAGATCACAAAGCGCTCCTCGCAATTGCTTCAGCATTCAACCTTTGCTGAGGGTAATACGCCCTGTCATTTCGGCAGCGGTAAGTTCTGCGCCGAGCGATTCCACTTCCCGCTCTTGAACTTCCGAAATTCGCTGGAGGCTATGCGAATTGGGCAGATTTTTACTCTATGTTTACTACCATCATAGATAGTCATTCTGACCTGACCAACATAGAAAAGCTGCAGCATCTTCGTTCATGCCTGAGGGATTCTGCGTTGGAAACCATCCGCTCGCTATAAATTTCGGATGGCAATTATTCTGTTGCTGATTTATTCTGATTTATTGCAAAACAGATTTGATAATCGCCGTTTGGTTTTTCAGGCACACATTACTGAGATCCTGGGGCTAAAGGCAGTGCAGAGTGGTTCGGTTTCGATGCTTCGGGAGCTGTCCGATAAATTTAAGGCTCATATTCGTGCTTTAAAGGGACCCTTCTGTCTAAATACTGCTTCAAAAGCTAGATCCTGCGAGCCAGGCCAAATGGGAGGAGCGGTTAGAGGTCCAGCATTCGTCAATCTAATTCCGACGTGGGAATCCATGGCATAATTTTTGGAGCAGCGATGCAGGACATTGGAGATTGTGGATTTCGCCATGGCAAGCTATGCGTCTGGCAATCAGGTGGGAAATAACGGAACGTCTAATTCTCGTAGATCCGCTTTTGTTGCCACAAATTAACCCTTGGATTTGTTCGTTCTATAATGCTATGGCATCAATTGAGGCAGTGCAATTCCAGCAATTGTCGTGCATGCGGAGCTAAACACCACACCCTCCTTCACTTGGGAAACTCAGCCTTAGCTTCTCCACAGGCAGGATCACAGCTTCCAGAAACTCTTGCCGGCTGGCGAAGAGCCATCTGCCGTGCCTTCCTCATCCGCTGCTCTTATTGCTCAGGATTTCAGTACTGACATTGTGCTCCTCGCCACTGCCACCGTTCTCGTAAAAAATCGGTCTGGAGTTTTCGTTCCGTGTCGAGCCCTTCTTGATTCAGGCTCTCAACTGCATCTCATAACATCCCGCTTCGCAGATCAGCTTCAAACAAAGAAGATAAAGTCTTCGGGAAGTGGAATCGCTCGGCGCAGAGCTTGCCGCTGCTGATGGCCGAAATGACAGGGCGTATTACCATCAGCAAAAGTTGAATGCTGAAGCAATTGCGAGGAGCGCTTTGTGATTCATTCACTCATTCACTCCAGCCCGGCAACAAAAGCCGGCAGCAGGCCGGCCACCGACCCCACGCATAATATATTATTCAAGGTCAAACACTGTGCAATTTTCTCAAAAACTCACACGTCCCACAAATCCATTGCTCCGTGGTAGTAGTTGTAGTAGTAGTAGTAGGTAGTAGGTAGTAGGTAGTTTATGTGCACTCTGAAATTTGAATATGCGCGCCATCAAAGATTTTAAATATGCGCGCCATCAATGAACTTTTTTTTATGATCCAGAAATTTAAAACTAAAAGGCTTCTTGACTCAGAACTTCGCTAAATGAGCTTGTTGGTTCGAAACTTCGCTAAAAAGAGCTTTAGAGCTTTTTGGTTCGAAACCTCACTAATTAAACAAAAAATTTGTCCCAGAATGCCCATAAACTACCTACTTACCCTTTTGCTCTGCAAGGGTATAACAAGAAAAGAAGCTAGCTTCGGCAAGCCGAAGCTTATATACCCTTGCAGTCATCAAATATGTCGAAAAAAATGCATAAAGGCTAAACAACATCGAAGCTATAACGATTTTTCCATTCATTTTCCATATTTTCGACTATTGTTCGTATGGAAGCTATATGATATAGTTGTCCGATTTTGTTGAAATTTAATATGTAATTCAAGAACAGTTAGAAAACTCTATATTCCAAAAATCATGCTTGTCTGATGAAAAACAACGATGTTATAATTTTATTTCCCGTATTTCTATATAGATTTTTTTATCTTTCCTATGGTAGCTATATGATAACGATGTCGGATTTTAATGAAATTTTTTATTGGCCAATCGTCGGATCACCGTTAGAGAAGTTGCTAAGGACCCAAACATATCGATTGGCTCGTGCCATTCGATTTTATCAATGATTTGGACAAAGCAGCTGTCAACAATTAAGCGAACATTCAAAGTGGCCGAGCTTGTCGGCATAAGTGAGAGACATGAGTACCAACATAACGCCACAAAAAAATTGAAATTCAATACGAGGTAACCCGCGAAAATTCAAAATTCGCGATACATTTGAACACACCAGGTGTATTTACTTTTGATCTGTTTATGGCAGCTATATGGTGGAGTTATCCGATTTTGATAAACTTTTATCCGAAATTCAATAGTGGTTAGAAATCGCCATCTGGAAGAAATCAAGTCGATCCGATCAAAAACAACGGCGTTAGAATTTTTAATTTCAATTTCTTGTATGGGAGCTATCCTATATAGTCGCCCGATCCGGCCCGTTCCGACTTATATACTGCGTGCAATAACTACACACCTTTTGGGAAAGTTTCAGCAAGATAGCTTTAAAACAGAGTGACTAGTTTGCGTAGAAACAGACAGGAGCACAGACGTACAGACTTATTTCGATTCAGAAGGTGATGCTGATCAAGAATATACATATATACTTAATGTGGTCTGAGGTGGCTCCTTCACTGCGTTGCAAACTTCTGACTGAAATTATAACACCCTTTGCTCTGCAAGGGTATACAAAGTATATTAATGATACACATGATGTTAAGATTAAGTTCAAGAAAGAGAAAATAAGAGTTCCCAAAAGTAATAAAAGGGTACAGGAGAAAGTAATTGAAAGTGATAGTGATGCTTATGTTGACGCTTACTCACAATACTCTCATATAGATGAATCCGATGTTTCGCAACAGTCTGATATAGATGATTTAAGGGGGGAAATACAATTAGAAATTTTTTTTTTTCGAAAAATTTTTTTTTGGCTTAATGTACTCCAAATATATCTGGGAGTAAGCCTTTAAAAGCATAAAGCCGTCCGGTACTTATTTTCAGAGTTATACGCAATTTAGTGAGGGTGTGTCATATGGCGGACATGCACAAAAGTAAACTTTAAACGCTTCTCCTGAAAAGTCGTGTTTTCAAAGTCGCCGTGCAATGTACAGGTCAGAGATTTTATTTTAATCGAATGCGGTTTTTTGCATTATGTTTGAAATTAAATTCTCCACACCATGAATATAACGGTTTTTCATATATGTTTGTTATAACATGTTTTTTTTACAATCAAACTCAAAAAAAAATCGTTATTTTTGAAATTTTTTTTTAACCTAAAATTTTTTAATGGAAAAATAATTTTTTTTAAATATGGTTTAATTCATGGTGTGCGCTGTACCTTTAAGTTTAAAGCCCAGTTGCTGTTTTTTGTTTAAGTCGTGATCCTGGACCTGGAGACTGCACGGCGCAAAGTCCTTCCCTAAAAACACGACTCCACATTATTGATCATAAATGGGCTTAATTACAATATTTTTCAAAAAACTTGACTG